AGCCTTTAAATTAAGACTACCCACCTTTCTAAGAGACAAACAAGCTGCAGTGATTTGGTTATTTCTGATTTACTGTCTTTAAAATTAGGTCATTACTTTTAAGAATGCTTTGAAATAAATGAATGATAGGACAGGATTTCAGAATGTTCTTAGCACTAATCCATACCACCATGGGGATAAATTGCTTTGCTTTTAACCTTCTGGCTAATCCATTTGGGAATCACATTATTGTCTCATAAAAAAAGAGGCACCCATCTTAATATTCCTGAACTAATGAGTTCTGCAAAATCCTTTCAAAGTACTAGCTAACCAGATTGATCAGCTACTGTTTTATCCATCCAGATCAAGCTGGATTTATGATTAATTGCATGCTTGCAAATAATCTTTCAGACTTTTACTCATTGTTCCCTGTATGAAAAAAGACAGACATTTTATGAGTACAACAGCCCTTCACGTTTGTTTGCTTGCATTCATATAGATCCTTACAACTGCTTTGTGGAAGGGTCAAGCAACACTGTCAGAATGTATTTAGTGTTTAATATGTCACTAAAGTGATAAAAGTTGCAGTGTCAATGCAAAAAGAGATATTGCAAAGTATAGTTTCAAACTGAAATTAAAAAATCGTCGGAAATTCAAGGTACTGCACCTTTTCAACTGCAACTTGGCCCTCTGGGATCCTTTAGACTTTTTTATTCCTGCATATACAACTACCTCAAAATAAAAATGGCAATTAGAAACCCTAGTGGTTTATGCAATATACATTTCCAGAAAGAATAATTATAAGTTTGGCTCAGTTATGTAGGTTACTTTGCTCAGTTAAGTTATAGCTTGTATTCACATGCTACAGCCTTGCCTCATGAGAAATAATCTGAAGAGTGTACAAACTGAAAAGATTAAATACCTTCAGCATGGAATAGTGCATTATAATGTGGCTTTGTAAATTAGAGTTGTCCTGACTTATTTCATATGGCAGATTCAGTCCTAGTTTATGACATAAAAACTACTGCATACCTTATAGTATATTATTCAAACAAAAGGTAGCAGAAAAGGTGATTTTAACAGATGTGGGAGTGCTCCTGAAACCCACTTATAAGATGGATAAGGAGCAGAGTGATGGGAAAAATTGGTCTTGCAGAAAATACAGATGAAGACTCTCATCCCATGTTGTGATCCCCACTGTTCACCTGCCTGAATCACAGCACATGGTCCACGATGAGTCAGTTACTGTCTGAGGGCCATGCGTGCATGCTGCTCGTTCATGCCAATTATGAACATTGAAATTTAGGTTCTGTAAATAACCAAAGGTAAACATGCTTCATTAAACTTAATAATGAATATTATTACCTTAGTAATTAAGTTTATCATGAACCTTAATAACTTAGTAATTGACAATAGTGTCTTAATGATTTTAAGGGGAATCTTCATTGGTGGCCCACAACTGTTTTGTAATTATAGTCATGTTTTGGTCAGTTGAGTTACTTTCAATTAATATACTTCATTAACTTAATAGCTAAACACTAACAGCCTAAGGGAGACACTCCAAGTGAATCAGTAAGACAGCTTTGAAATAAGGTCACAGTAAGTGTATGTAATTTTCTAATTTTAATTACATGCGTTTTCAAGGCCATGTCTAAGAAAACTCTGCTATCCTGACAACCAATTCAGTGGTAACATACTACTGACATCGGTGTTCTGAATTCAGATTAGGAGCCAAACAAGAATGGTGATAAGTGTGTGCTAAGGAGGTTTTTGTAGTACAGCTTGTAAGCAGTCTGGGGACAAGTCAGAATTTCATATCAGGTGTAATGACTGATGTTTAATGAAATGATCTGACACTGCCCAGGTTCTTAGGAAATAACCAAGTCCTGAATAATGTGATTAAAAGAAATTACTGCTTATGCAGTTATTTTTCTCAGATTTTTTCTTCATGCAGAGCCCACAGAAAACAGCAGCCATTATCAGGGATGATTAAATACTGGGCCTACATGTGGTTTGATGTTTGAAGATCAACATCCAAAACTCAGCCTAGGTATCTGAATGTGCTGTGGTAAGTTACAATAATTGGCACCCCAGTTACCTTTTTATTTCTCAAATAGATGCGCATAATGGTTTTCTTCCAAACAGATTTTTTTCATCTTAATAAGTCTCAAATCACAGAAATGTTTGTGTCAAAGCACATAGAAATTTGAGGATGGGGAAGGGAGAAAGGAAGGGAAGGAGGACGGATAAATTTCTCTAAGATGTTTATGAGAATTTGTCCTTACCTATCTCATTTGCCTCAAAATTCTTTGTAGGGAATTAGGAGAAAGGAGAAGCGATCAGAGAACACTAATTAGAAAGAAAAGGACAACATGGAGACTTAGTCTTTCCTATGATTACAGTAGAGAGAATACATGGAATACAGGATTCCCAGTTTTAAAGGACAGATGGGGAGGGACACACTTCCTCTATGAGAAGCAGTGAAGAACACTAAAACAGAGTTACAAAAAGATGCTTGCTTAAAGTAAGAAAACGAACTTGGAATGACACAGAACTTCTGTCTTGAAAGGGAAGGAAAAAGGGAAAGAAACATTGGAAAGGACTACATTCCTCTTCAGCACGTTGGTAAGTAACAATGGATTTGGCACTAATTAATCTGAACATTGAATACTTTGCAGGGGTTACCTGTGTTGGCAGCTCACCCTGTGCTCTGTATGGAGAATACTAAGAATTCTCTTGAACTGTGGCCAACTGCAAACTGGCTGGACAAGACTGGTCCAGGGCAGTCACTGGTGTACCACTTCTTATTGTCCAAGAGAGGTCAATCACAAGGTGAACAGGTTTGTTCCCTCATTTGTACCCTGCCTGGCCAAGGTAGAGGATCAGGCAGTTTCACACCTCCCAGAAATATTGATGCAGCACGGGGGAAATCAGCAAGGCAGCCTGTCCCAGTGTCACTGGTCTGTTACCAGGGGAAAGGTATCTGAGCGAGCACGGGAATGCTCACACCTCAGTGCCTTCGCAGAAAGTTACAAAGCATCGATGCATGTAATAGCAAATGAGGTTTCAGCTCAGGGCTGCAGCACCAAGAACTGCAGGGGATTGTTTAGTATTCAGTGAGCATATGCCTAAAAAGTCAGTGCACATGCTATCGGAATTTCAGCATCCTGCTGCGCGTTGATGAACTTTGCTTAGGCTTCATCAGGATCCATTTACATTCTGGATAAGAGATTTGGGAGGAAAACTGGTATACAATGCAAAGGGCAAAATTAAAGGCCAAAATCTGCTTTACTGGATATCTGTCGCGAAGATGTCTCAGCAGATTTTAAATAAAATACCTCTGAAATTTTCCATCCATATCCCAAATCTTCCCAGAAGAACTTCTGAAATTATTCAGGACACATATGAATAATTTCTCTATATTTTAGAGAATTAGGCAGGGGCTTTCAATGTTTAATCCAAGCAAGCAGTGGATTAACTGTCTTCAGCTGAAAGACTGCCAGCTGACTACCCTTCCCCACGCACACGGCATTTGATGTCTGCCATTTTAATATTTTGACATTTTTGTGAGAGACACTGTCCTGAAAGGTCACCACTTGTCTCAGCAGTTGGCTGGCTGCCACTCAGGCTTGGGAAGCTTAGCTCCACAGCTGTCATCAAAAATGACCATTTTCACAGATAAGTTTCAGAGAAGCTATGAATTTCTGACTGTCTGAGGGAAAAAGGATACAACAGGAAGGAAAGCGAAGCTTCAAAATCACCTTTTACTTGCCAAAATGAACACAGGCATTTATACACATATGTAAGATGAGGCTGAAGTATTGCAAGAGAAGCTTATAAACAACAGATTGATCAAACATACCTGTGTTACAGCAGCATTATCAAGGGGGTTATACCATGAATATGTTTAGCCCTCTCTTGCAGCAAACAACATAACACACATACTCTCTCCCTAATCACTTAATGGCAGTCACCTATTAACTGTGAAAATTACATTTTCACATGGCTCAAGAGAAGTTTACAGTATCCCAGCGGTCGCCAGAAAATGACAATACCTATAAATAAAGCAAGAAACATGACGCAGCAACAGAAACAAACTGTCTGCAACCTGCAATTCTCGTGCAATTATCTGATATTTATACTTGGTACTGATCACAAGCTGTTTTCAATAAGCAGATTTCATTCACAGCACAGTAAGAATTAGCCATAAACTCAAAAGGACAATTACACTACAGAATCTTTGAATTAGAAAAGAGAATAGAAAACAAGATGCTGTTTCTTCAGTGCTACGAGACCCCAAAACACTGAAAAATACCAAGTCTCTTCCTTACAATATCACTGCAACACCAAGAAACCTTCAACTCCACTGCTTCCCAACCACTATCATGTCTTCATGCCACACAGCAGATAGAGATCATCTTCATGTACAGACAGAGTGAGATTGGTGAAAAACATGCATTGCTCACCGTGCTATGTTCATTGTTCTTATCAGGTCAGCTGCAGACTTACTGGTGCCCCTTATGATGTCTATTTGTTTGCGTTTCTTATAAAATGGTACTGTCAAGTTTCCTAAGGAGAAGTCCAGATCTGCATTTATGGATTTTTAAAGAAAAGACTCCCGGTGAAAAATACCAGGGGAGATTTCTCTCCTATGTGCTCACAAGCTGTCACTTACAGCTGAAGTATCTTTCTTGCTGTATATCTAATACTATCTAATCTAAGCAGAAAAACATCTCTCTATAAGTACATCCTGCATTTGCTTGACTTCTCCCCTCACAGACAAAATGGCAAGCAGACATCCCCAAAATCAACAAACACAACTACAAACTACTTGCTCTGGAAAGCTTTCATGCATCCCTTTCCCTCAGCAGCTCTTCCTCTGAAAGCCAGAACAATACTGCAGAGAAGCTTTCCCTGTCAGGATGTTTTCAGCTTTCATCTCTCTGCTTTTTCAAGCAGAAGACTGAGGTAGAAACCTTAATTAGCAATCTGAAAGCAGCACGCAGGCAAGGAATACTTACATTTGCAACTGTATTTGTGATATTTGCGCACTGATCCAGCGACTGGTGATTACAAAGAAGAGAAAGAGCTTTTTAGGCTGCCTTTCAAGTCTTGCAGCAGTGAAACGAAGGCTGTTATCTGAAAGCTACTCATTTTCTATATGCTGTGCTCTACTTGCTTCCCATGCGCATACAACACAGCTGCCAGATTTAATAACCATGTCAGCCTGCTTTCCCCATAAAGCAGCAGAGAGATGACAGGATGAAGATGAAGTAGCCAGCGCGTTAATCTGTAGTTATGGCTGCACTAAGCCTTGAATGAATGTCACGGGTTTATTGCCCTTTAAAAAAAAAAATAAAACAAATCAACACTATTTGTGAAAAAAAAGTGCAAAAGGATTTCAGAAATGTCAATCCATACTTGCCTCAGTGACATTAAAGTACATTAAAGAAATGTCTCCCTTTTTCTCCTCAGTTAACAAATCCTAGGACTTGCATTAATATCTTTTTTCCTACATCCCAATCTTTCAGAATACATTTTTCCTAGCAGAGTATGCCTTCTACACCAAAAGAACAAAACCATTGACTGGCAAATTAATTGAGCTTCCCTCCTCTCCGGTTCCTCTCTGGAAGGAAGTATTTTCATACCTGTTTGTCTTTGCTGACTTCTTTCAGGGGAAAAAAAAAAAAAAAGAGAAAAGAAAAAAGGGGTAAAATTCTCTTTTACCATTTAAATTCTCCCACGCACAGTGGTTCCTAGAGCACTGGACTTTAGTATCTGATGTGGTCAGTTCACTGCCAAGGTGGAGCATCGCCGTATCTCCAGCTGCAAAACCAGTTCCATGTGAGGGAAGGGCGGCCAGACTTTACAGGGCAGGAGAAGGTGCCACTCATGCAATCAAAAACAACGAACTAAAAATAAAGGAAGAAGCGTTCAGTTGAATTTGCAACAGTGCAGGGATGCCGCAGAGGTCATATGACATCTGTGCACGTCTTTTTCTCTCTCTCATTTATATTCCCTTCACTTCCCTTGGAGGCACCTGTCTCAGCGGGGAGTGGTTTCTGTGGAAACTACGGACAGTCAGTTTTCCCCTCAGAGAAACTGTTACTATGGAAACCTTACATAATGTATATGGCCTAGATTCTTTTTAAAAATAATCTGACCCTGAAATTCTCAGTATAAAATAAGAGCTGATCTGTGTCTGGGGGGCAAGAAATATGGTTATTTAATAACTGCATTAGAAATATAGGATTAAAAAAATCCAAATGATGTTACGAATTAAAGAAGAGTGCAGGGGGCATGTCATTGCATCAGTCACAAAGACAAAATAATTTGTAAATGCCAGTAAACAAGGTCCATTATTTAGCACTTGTGGGAAGCAAGGAGGAAGGGAAGCATATACTTGACATCATGGCTCAATGTAGCAATCAATACTACATCTTGCAGAGTCGAGCTTTTCCCTGTGTGTTTATTTTTCCAGCAACCAGGACCTCAGTTAAAGATGTGAGCCCAAATACCGCTTACATCCACCCCATTCAAAAACGAAAGATCAGCTTTATTAAAGTCACTTACTCTACACCATGAAATCATGCTGTGTTAGAACTCGAGGAAGTGCCTGAAAGGAGCTGCATGAGTCAGTGAGGCACAGCATGCAGTGGAGCAGAAGCAGAAAAGACACACTGCTGTTTATGTGACTTTCCTCTCAGCTCAGAGGAGACAAACCTGCCCACAGCCGTGGTGGGCAGGGCAGGTCTGTCAGATTGCATTGGGGACACTGGGATGTAGGGGCCCCAGTAATGGGGCTGGGCAGCGTGAGGGAGTTTTGCCTTCTAAGTCAGCAGCTGAAGGGTGGGTTGTGTCAGCAGACCTGGTGGCTTGTGAATGACATGGAGTGGTAGTCACGTCACAGATGTTTTGTGGCCCCTGTGAAACGGGTATGTGGATGTCTCCCTTGTCTCCCCTGTCTGCAGCCACCCTTGCAGATAACCCTTTTACTGGTAATACAAATTGAATCAAATCGTTAAGAAGGCACAGCTACCTGTTTAACTCTGCACAAAATTGGTGATTTCAGTTGGAACAATATTCTTGGGGAAGCTTTACTAAAACCCTACCTCTGAGATATCTGTGTTGTGACTCAGTGGACTGATATCTCTCCTGATCTGTCAGCCTAGCAACCCTTATTAACATGAAGCACATTATTATACATGGGGACTGATTTTTCTTCTCCACTCCCATTCAGAAAATGAACAACAGAGAGCAATCAGCCTACAGAACATTTCCCCAGAACTTTAGTGAGGTCCTTCTATACTCCCTTGTGTAAAGGGGCTCTCTAAATGGGACAAAGAATGCATGAAGCATTGCTTCAAACCCCACAGCATTTATCTTCCTTTCTTGTGTAGAGTGGAGACACTCCAACAAAAAGCACTCACGCTGCCTGAGGAGGAGGTGTTGTTTGGGACCTGGCTTTTCCAAGCAGGTGTTCAAGACCAGGGTTTCACAAAAAACTTGCTGGTGCCACAAGTCTCTAATACAAAATCCCTTTAAGGGGGTTTCCCTGTGTGGGGCAAAAGTCCCAGGACTTTTAAATTAAAGAAGAAAACTGCTCCATAAATTGCATTGAATACAATGCAATACAGAAGATCTACTCTGAAAATCACACGGAGCAGTATTTTGTCAGAGGCTGTGCACACACCTTTTTGTAGGTGAAAATCAAGTGCTGGATGAAGATGTGAAAGCATTAACATTCTCTCTCTTTTACACAGAAAAACAAAGGAGAATTTGATGCATAGTGTTAACTTCAATTGGTTTTGAGGAAGTTCAGCATCAGCAGGATCCAGTCTAAAATTTACATGACTGAAACTTCTACGATTTATCAAATATCACATTCCTAGGCAAACATTACACAGGAGTCAGGCCCTCTAACTTTTCAACCACAGGGCTCTCATGTTCTATCCACAGGACATACGGCCACAGTGTGTTACAATCAATCTTTTGCCTTCTAAAATTAAAAAAAAATCAAAAAGTAGAATATATTTTCAACAAGACATCCTACATTCACTTCTGAATTAATCTTATATGCAAAACTACAGAATAGTTAGACAATGTCTAGTGAAACATGTATTTAGTGGCCCTAGGGAAGAAAATATATTCAAAAAGAAAACCAATAAAACGAAAAGATTCCATAAGCAGATTAGAAAGAGCTAAGCTGTCACTTAAACTCATGTAGTTCTGACATTTTGCTATGTAAAACCTTGAACTTCAAAGAGTACATTGCACAAAGACAGCAACAGGGACAAATTGAGAAATGAATATTATAACAAGGTAAAGCAATGAAGCTAATAGCTTATTTTTTAAAAAAGAAACAAATATCTGACACAGAATGAGAAGGCTCGACTACTTTTCTTAGCTGTGCCAAGTCTCCCAACACAGAAAAGCCTAGTACAGCAAAAGTCAACGTGGTTACATGACTTCTGGACTGAGCTGAGTAACATCCAGCCAGCTCAGAGTGGAAGCAGCATAAACTTGGATCATTCCCTCTCCATTTATCTATGTAGATATTCCACATGTTTCCAATTCATGGACACCTGTGTCTTCCTCGAGCAAAGGACAGGGTGTTTGGGCACCAACCTCAGGAGTGGATGCTTCACTAGTACCGGTGTGCTTCCAGTAAGTTAACACGCAGCACTTACATTTCTTACCTCAAACTCTGACCATGCTGTAAGAGACCTGGCTGAGATACTGCTGAGAAGGCAGTTAGACTAACCAAAGAGAGATCTGCATTCACAGCAGGACTCAGGCATACAGAGATGCAGCTGTAACCTGTGAACTTGCTGTTAGTTTCCTTCCAGCAGGGAGTTAGCTCACTCTAGGAGTCCAAGCTTCTCTTGACAGCCCAAGATCTGCAATAATGGCCTCTTGGTGAATAGATTCAGAAAAAATGTAATTGAGCTGTTATGACCTGCACATTGTTTGGCACACATCATGGAACATTACAGCAAACCTACAGCCTTCCATACGGAAGACTTTCAGTGGTTATTTAAAATGTCTTCCACCCATTCCATCAGTATTTATTATATGTTTTCCACCTCTTCCCATACCATTACATCAGGCCTATGAAAAAATATATTAGCAACACAATATTACATATGGCTTTACTCAGAGATAGATAGAGGTGTCAATAGAAATCCTTTGCACAACATTGCCTCACTTATTCCAAAAGAAATCTCTAGTCATCACACTACCTCACTTAACTCCTTTGTACTTACTCCTGCTTTTATAGAGACAAGCTACATGTTCAAGGGTACTGACTGCTCATCAGATTTATATTGGTTTTGATACTGTAGTCTCTTTTCTCTCATGGTCCTATTATAGAAAAAAAGTTCTACTTCCTATCTACTTGCATTGCCATGCTTTGGATGAGGAAAAGAAATCTTAGCAGTAAATAAAGGGAGAGACAGATTCACAAAGAGGCACAGGCAGGGGTGTCAGCTCCTAACCACAAGGTGCCTTGCAGTCTGCAGATCCTTCTGCCAAGAGTTCTGTGCTTAAGCAATCCACAGGAATGACTCCCACAAAAGCCAGCACATTAGCACAGAGCTGCCCAACTTATCTCCTGTGAATGCTAAGAACTCTCTCCATGAACTTGGTATCCTCATCTGGACCACAGGAAAATACCCAACTGGATTCATACATACCCATTCTCTTGAGTTAAATTCCCTTTCTTAAAAAAGCTGACTGGGGAAGAGATGAGAGACAATTAAAGTACTCAAGAGATGAGAGATTTGGGGTCAAATCTTCTAGCAGCCAAATAAAAGCTTAACCAACATTCCCATCTTTAATCGTATCTTTTTAGGTTATTCCAAGGTAGGAATCCTCCCGAAGCTGCTGTCCTGATATTAGTAAATAACAAAGGGAGTGAGGGAGAGAACAAAGACCACTGCATAGTTTTTGTCAGGCTTGTTGTTTAGGGCACTAACCTTGAAAGTCCAATCTTTGCCTCAGTAATTGGCTGTTCATTAGCCGTAGAATCGGTTTTCTCTGCCCCACATGACAGGAGCTATTTTGCTGAGGTTCAACAGGTGCTTTCTGAGCTCTGCCAGATTAACTGCTTCAGAGAGGACAGGCACAGAGTGTCTTCTGTGATGGTCCTGGCATGCCGAGGTAGATGCCCAGCTGTTCAGCCCTCGCTGCTGCTTACATCTCCAGACACCTGGGTTAAACGGCGGGTTTTGAAGGCTGACGTTCCTGTCTGAAGTATTTAAGGTGGCCATTAGGTATTTACAGCCATGTCTACAAATGTGGGAGCAGGGCCACCTGAGCTGGCAGGGATGTGCATAATGACTCATAAACCAGAAATGCTGGGCAGTTCAGTGCAGAAACACACAGTCTGGCTCTGGGCATGGTCACTAACAAGCCATAGTTCTGTGTGCAAGCCTGCACGCCATTGTGACTTTTCCAGATTGAGGGTTCCTGAACTCTTGTCTACCCCAGAGAGTAGGCAGGCCCTACATCTGGCCTGAGTCCATGGATGGATCTTGCCTTGGAGTTCAGCCAAGAAAATGGTCATTATGGGGATTAAAACTAAACTGACTTCACCCAGCCTAGAGCACACAGGAAACAGATCAAAGGTGGATTTCTGTCTGGGTTTCTCATGGATTTCAATTTTAGTTAACATTCACAACTGCTGGCCTGCCTATTTTTTTCCTTGTTTTAGAAGCACAAATCATTGCCAAGGCTCTGGCAGCCAGGCCAGAAAATAGTGACAAATAGTGTAAGCTGATCTGGCAGGCTTCATTAAGGGCAGATTAAACATCGACAGTCCCCAAGGTTTTTGTGATATGATTGCATGACATGGCCAATGAACTAGTCACTCCCTAGGGTGAGGAGCAGAGATGATGTTCAACTGCCTGGAGAGTGGAACATAGACTATTCTGTGAAATTACATGTTATGACAATGTAAGATGCAAAGCACAATCTCTAAACAAGGTGCTTCACCTCAAATAAACCTTGTGACTAGCTAAATAAAAGT